GCTCTGGTTGATTGGATTCCAATCAGTAGTCGGATGTGTGCGGTCTGATTGGCTGGCTCGTTTAAAGCTTCGAAGTCGCGCAGGACTAATAGGTGTCTATTCATCATCGCTGTCTACGCGCTCACAAACTGTAGCGATGATTCGGTAAAGAACGACTTCTACCGCCAACTGAGCGAGCTCCTTCGCCACAGAAGAAGCACGGACACTTTTGTGCTGGCGGGGGATATGAATGCACAAGTTGGAAAGTTGTCCAGTTCGTCGAGGTCGGGGCTGTATTGACCACATCTTCACCTTGCATCAAGTGTTGGAGCACCGCCATGTTTATTGGCGACCCACCGTTGTGTTTCTTGACATAAAAGGTGCCTTCGACTCAGTCGATCGATGTGCCCTTTGGGACTGTCTGCTGAGGAAAGGTGTGCCTGATAAATATATAAACATTATCAAAGCGCTGTACGCGCACAGTTTGGCAGGGTGAGGGTTTATGGCAAACTGTCGCCACCTTTCAGTATCACCAGCGGTGTGAGACAGGATGCCCGCTGTCACCTTTCCTCTTCAACTTCGCTATTAATGAAGTCATGGAAACAGCGTTCGCTGGACACGACCTAGAAGGTGTGGAGCTACTTGCTGGTGAGCGACTTCTTGACTTAGAGTATACGGACGATATAGCCCTAATCTGTGAGAGCTCCCAATCATGCCAAGCAGCACTGGACCGATTAGACCTGGCTGTCAATCGTTTTGGGCTATGCTTTGCTCCATCGAAATGCAAAGTACATTTGCAAAATTGTCAGGGACCCAACCCTGTTCTAACGCTTGGTGGTGATCGGTTAGAAGTCGTTCAGGAATTCAAGTACCTGGGCAGCTATATTAGCACCCGTGGGATTGAAGATGAGGTTACGAACCGTATAGCAAAAGCTCGAGGTGCTTTTGCCAATCTCCGCCACCTGTGGCGCAGACGCGACATTACTCTCGCCCTGAAGGGCATAGTTTACAACGCAGCCGTCCATTCAACCCTCCTATATGGTTGTGAAACCTGGCGCATCAGATCGACAGACATAAAGAGGCTCGTCATATTCGATCATCGCTGCCTTCGCAGCTTAGCTCATGTCTGGTGGGAGCACCGCGTGAGCAATGAGCGTGTTCGACGTCGCGTATTTGGTGCAGGAAGAGCGAGTGAACCGCTCAGCACCATTATATCACGCACCAGGCTCCGATGGTTGGGCCACGTGTTGCGCATGCCAGCACACTGACTTCCGCGGCGTGCATTGTTTGCGCGTTGTGGGTGCGGTTGGAAGAGGAGGAGGTGAGGCCAGGTGATGACGTGGTCTAGAGAGATGAAAACCCTCACTTCGAAGTTGGCGTCGGTTGGCGCATCCCGATTGCTTGGCTGTGATCCTAAGGACGGTGAACACGTTTGGTTGGACACACTTGCTGATATGGCTTGGAGCCGACCCCAATGGCGTTTGTGTTGTGAGTTCCTTTGTCCATCCCCCTCCTGCTTAGCATCCCCCTGCAATCATCATGTCACGTGTTAGGCATAATATAACTTTTTTACGGCACGATAGCCGGCTGTTAGCTCTCTGGAACGATGTCCATCCGTTACTGGAGACTCCGCGGGCGTGCCACTGTTTGTTTTTCTTTTCTTGTCTTTTGTATTGCGACACAATAGCTGAGATATTTTCCACCTGCAGCTAACGTGTATAATAATAATAATGATGATGATGATGACTGTTGCCGATAGGCGTCCGGTGGATGTTGCGCGAAGGTGGTTGCAAATTTCACTCCAGTAGCTCTTCGGTTGCTGTCAATTAATCGGACTAATAAAATGAAGGTTGGGATGTGAGTAAGAGAAAGAGGTGCAAAAGGAAGAAGGGAGACGCCAGTAGCATGTTTTCGCCTATCCGCCCTGCTGTATGCAACATATAAGGCGACCGATGCAGGAGGTAGTCAGAGTTTGTGGAAATTGGCATGGCTGTATGTGGGCTGAGATACTGCCAGGGCGCCGAGGCGTAGACCAGAGGACCATTAGGGTCCTCAACCAAAGCATTTGGATCAAAAGCCTATCCGCAAGGCAGCGGGGACCTGGCAGTGATTTAGTTTTACAGAAATGGATGTCATCCCGTTTTGAACTCCCAAACTGGACGACCAGGAGACTGCGTTTGTCTGACCTCTAACCATTGACCAATCTGGTAGGAGAAAGCTCAAGGGTCCTAGTTCCCCACTCAGTGTGGGTCAGTGAGTCAAAGAGATACGCAAATCGTCGCACCACGTTGAGATCCGGTCTCGTTGCGACAGCTCGAACATTTCTGATAAGGAGTTACTATCCCAACTAATTAGCGTTAACCGATTCCAGTGGCAATATACTAGAACTGCGGTGGCTCCTACTGTGCTAACCACAGGGGTGTTTTTATAACAACGGTTATGACAAAACTACTAGTCTCACCCCTTGTTCGCTTCACTGTGGAACGGGAATCCCGTATTAGGGAATAACGGGTAGCTATCGGCCCAGGACGGGGTTGTGTAGACCACATATTCACTCTGCATCAGGTGCTTGAGCAGCGCCACGTACATCATAGAGCGACAATAGCAGTGTTTCTCGACTTCAACAGTGTGTTTGACTCCGTCGATCGGTGTGTTATGTTCGAAATACTTGTGCCGGAAGGTATTCCCATGAAATATGTGAACATTTTGCTTGTCCTATATTTGAACACAACAGGCCGCGTCAGATTCTACGGTGACTTACCTGATATCTTTCCGACAACAATTAGCGTTCGTCAGGGTTGTCCAGCTTCCCCATTTTTGTTTAACTTCTTCTTGGACTGCATCGTAAAGTGATCCTTTGTGGAATCTCACGACGCAGGTGTTGAGGTTCTGGCAAGTGGGGAGCTAGTTGATATTTATTTTACGGCACAATCAAACCTGAATAACCTCTCTACAGTGGTCCTATCATTTTGCATGTTTTTCACACCTTCGAAGTGCAAGATGTTATTGCAGGACCACCAGCCAATTGATGACCTCTAGACCCTTGATAACGATGAACTCGAGGTAGCTGATCAATTCACTTAGTTTGGCATTTTCATCCGCAATGATGGGCGCATAAGCACTGAAGTCATTTCACGTTTTGTACAAGCTAGAGTTGCCTTTTTGAATTTGCGACATCTTTTGCGTCAGTAAGGGGTATCCCTCTGAAATGCCGTGTTTACAAGGCCGCAGTTATACTCTATGGTAATTAAATCTAGATAGGTGGTGCTATGTCCCAGCTAGTTTGCGAATTATGTAGCCCAGCCAACGTCCCCCATGGCTCAGTGGCTTAAGCTGCTGGCTAGTTGGCATCTGCCTCTAGCGGTCATGGGTTCGATCCTCCTTAGAGGACCGAGGGCGAAACGCGTCTGGCGCTTTTCCGGACTAGGCTCTGCTATGTAGCTTGTGAACTGTTGGGATGAAGCCTTATCAGATTTACAACTAAAATCCTGCTACTAATGAGTACTATAAATCTAGCCCCTTTGGTCTGAGGATGTAAGGCGCCTTCAAAACTTTGATCATCACTGCCTGCGAAATATTGCATCTGTCGGATGGCACCAGCATGTCTGCAACGATGATATGCGTAGGCTAGTGATAATCAGGCTAGTTCATTAACACCACAGATAGCACTGAATAAGTTGAGGTGACCGCTTACCCAAGAGGACCTTGTTTTATCTGACATATTTTGGGTGGCACAAGAATTGAGGTGGATAAATGTTTACTTAGCAGAGAAAAACTGGATGCCGTCGATCCATCTCGCCTTCCAGGCTGGAGTCCACGTGACCGGCCTTGTGCTTGGCTCAAGACGTTACAGGACAAAGCTCGCAGTCGACACCAGTGACGCGTCTGCTATCGTCTCGTAGTCGGACTGCCTGTTTACTGTGTGTTTGGTGTTGTTATTTGCGAGATCATTATCACCAATACACGTTAGTCGAGAGGAAGGTACACCTCAGCTAGTGTGCTGCAATACACAGAGGCTATCGTACGGTACAAACTAAAAAATACTAAAAAGTAACAGCGCTAAATATCACATTTGGGATGGTCGTTGGCGAGGGAAGCTAAAGTGGAGAGGATGGACAAAGTGACTCACAACACAAGCGTCATTTATTTTGGCTGTTCAACATATCAGCTGGTGTATCCAAAGTGTTCATCATCCTTCGGTCCCCAGCCTAGTAATCGGGAAACGTCAACCGATGCCAATTTTGAAATGAGGGACTTTATTCCCCTTGATCAAGTCATCGCTTAGCCTCCCCTCCTCTTCCATCCATATCCCCGACACGCAAATAACGTATGATGCGCGAGTCGGTGGGCTGGTATGTGCAACATTTGGTCCAGTCATCGGATCCTGCTGCGTGATATAATGATGCTAAGCGGTTCTCTCGTTCTTTCTGCACCAAATACACCACGCCGAACCCGCTCATTGTTCACGCGATGTTCCCACCAGACATGAGCTAAGCTGCGAAGGCAGCGATGGTCGCACGAAGCTAGTCTATTCCTGTCGACTTGATGGGCCATTTCTGCGGAGCAATGGTTGATTATGACGCGGAGCAGTGAAAGCCGCAGGGAAACTGTCGCCGATGCTGCCTTATCTTTGCATGATAGCCATCTGTTTGTGACCATACGTTGTTGACTAGGTGTAGGCGCGTTGACTGGATGTTTGCCTAAGTCACTAAGGTTTTATGCTAGGTCTCTTCTCCCTATTCCTTAAATCACCGTGGTTGTATGACAGCGAAGCATCAGTTGATGATGACTTTTGTAATATGTAGTATCATTTTTGTTCGCTGCAACATCTCCCCAAACTTTTTGATGATCACTCTAAAAGCCAAACGCGAACGCACACCGTTTCCAAGATCCGAAACCCTTTGATTTATATCAGTTTTTTTAGCAATGATGCACCTCATTTAACATGTCTCCTGATGTGTTTATCTTTCACTTTCCACAGATTGGCCGCTTTTCACATCACCGTTATTCTAGCCAGCAAAATGAATCCATTAACAAACACCAAGAATCAAAATTTAATGAACGAGCGAGAACTACTTCTGGGATACACCGGAACATTAAGTTCTTGGCATCGCCAGTACAAGGATTCTGCTTGGATTTTCATTGGTGGTCTCAACTATGATCTAACTGAAGGTGATGTTATCTGCGTCTTCTCTCAGTACGGTGAAGTTGTGAACATAAATCTGGTCCGTGACAAGAAAACTGGTGTGTCCAAGGGATTTGCTTTCTTGTGCTACGAGGATCAACGCAGTACGGTGCTTGCCACAGACAACCTGAACGGCATCCGAGTGGCCGGGCGTGTGATTCGCGTAGATCACGTGGAAAGCTACAAAGTCCCAAAGGATGGTACCGCGGATGTGGGCACAGCGAATGCGACGAAACCCAAACGTGCCCAAATAACACACGACTCGGATGTGGTGACTTCGTTCGTGAAAGAGCATGGTTGTGGGCCTGAAGTGATGAAACGTATAGCGGAAATTGAACGCGAGCAGAAGGCAGCGGATGAAGAGAGAATACGTCGGGCTGAAGCGCGAAAGAATGACCCTCACTCCCACCAACGCGCACACCGTTCCAGATCCCCGAGCGATCGATCTCACCCTCGCAGAACACATGCGCATTCTCGCAGTCGTGAACAGCGGAGTTCTTGGGAAAACTTAAGAAATCGTAGTCCCCCATCTCCCTCACACAGAAAATCTACTCCTTCTCCTGGGATAAAACAAGAACCCCCTTCTCCTGATAAACGCCACCGCTCTCCACATTGTCATGCTGCTTCAGATGTGACACATTCTAAGCATGGTAAAAGACGCTAATTCTACCGACCAATCTTTCGCTTCATGTTTGTACATAAACTTTCTGATTTGCGTGAACGCCTTGCTTGTCCTGCTATCGCACTGCTGTGTCGGTGCAACTTGTACCTACAGAACACCCTCATGATTTCTACGATTTTCGTTTTTGAGTAACTCATACTCACTGCGTTTGCGCTCACAAAATATAACACTAGCTCGTAGCCGAAAACTATCAGCTGAAGTGTCTCCCAAAACTAAAGTGGAGTTTTTGCCTCTCGCTGCCTCTGTGACTTGGTGGTTCGCTTAAGCAGTGGACTATGAGTGTGTGAACCGGGCATTTCTCGTGCACGCAGGATCCGAATACGCATGGTGCATGGTTGTATACTGATCGCATTTAGGTTACCTCTGCGGGATGGGAAAAACAGATTGCTGCAGCCAGATCTCTCCATTGCCACAAGGATATAACGATTCTGTGATCACTGTAGTCCTATGGTATATGCGTACTGACGTGCCGCATTCTCAATAGCTGCTACCACCTATGAAACCAATACTCGCTGCTGGGCCGAGTCAAAGGTTCAGATTTTCTCCATCATTTTAATGATGAAAGCGCATCAAAAGCACTAACGAGTAAGTGTTGTTATTTATCAAGTTTTAGTGCTAGGGTGTTTGATGGCACATTTGGACTTTGAATAAACTACGCACACAATTACTTGCTTCTGTTTTAGCTGTAACTTAAACCGTGTCAACCGGCACGGGTGCTCACATTAATAATCATTTTGTTCCTATACCTTTATCCCGATCTTCTAGGTCAGGTTGTCTAGTCGTCATCTAAAACTACGGACAAGCGAAGTCATGTAGCTAACAAGCGGTGTGAAAATGGTATTCAGAGGATATGCGATGTGTACTCTGACGGAATGCATCTCAGGATCCAGAAGTGTCTATATGACGGTTTAAAAGCTTGATTAGTCCGTAAGCAGCACCTAAAAGCTAGCTGTTCATGAATTTGCGCCAACACCGACGGAAGTAGAGGGCGTTGCCAATAATGAATAATATGTGAACATTGACTTTATGTGTTAGGAAGCACTGCCTTACAAGCCCCGTTAAGTGTCTGGTGGGTTAGCGAAAATCGTTGATGAGAAAAAGCAGTTAATACTTTTACTGTCAAAAGAGCGGACTTGTCTTTAATGCAGTAGCCCTACACAGCACCCGCAGGTAACAGCAAATCAATCCAAGGTATTTCCCGGGATTGAGACGGAGAGTGCTAAGTAACAAAATGTAAGTGGCTGAGTGCGTCGTCCAACCGACTTTTAAATATGGTTAGTATAAATGCAGTAACAACTGATTCGACGAGAGCATTCTACGGGTGACACGCGAATGGAAACGATATTTTGCGGCATTCCAGGTGGCTGTATTGTTCTGTTAGTTTCAAGGAATGATCTCTCAAATTTGTGTTACTACTGAGTTGCAGTAAAGAGCGGCACACATGATTTGGTTTGTGCACGATCAAGTATGCTATTATCTCGTCCGCTGGATACTCCCAAACGTTTCATTATTTGCTCATATGGTAGGTTGCTCATATCTATGACGTTTTTGGATACCCGACGGGAAGGCTGCTGCACTGCATTGTGATCATGCTTCAGCCGTGACTGCCAGGCTTGAACAGCGTGTTCGACGTGGGAGCGAACATGCGCACTGATCATCTATTGGGAAGTGGATATGCCTATTCTGACAAACCGACGTATTCGTTGCCATTGTTCATTACCTTTTTGGATTGCCGGGAACAAACCAAGTCATCCTTAACCAGCACCCACAGGTCGCTTTCGACAGAAGATCGCTGCAGTGCTTGCGTTCCTACCCTGTAAAATCAGGTATTCTGGTGTCGTATGGAGAGTACCTTGCATTTTCCCACGTTGAATTACAGCGAATTTCGGGTTGACCACTGATGTACCATATCTGATTCAAACCGAAGCAATTCTACTCGGCATCCGTCTGAATCCTGCGCCATATTTTGACGTTGTCAGCAAACGGTAGGCAGCTTGAAGCGATTGTCTGTGTAAGTACATTAATAATTACCGGAAACAATCGTGGCCCTAGTACAAAGCTCTGAGGCACACCGCACTTGGTTTGTATGACGTCAGATATGGAGCTCCTAAATCGGACCACTAATTGTTGTTAAGGTGGAATTTGGCCATCCAGCTCAAGAGTGTCATCGATACTGGAGCTTGGAAGGAGAATCCGATGATCTATAGCAGGGCTCACCAAACTGCAGCCAGCGATGTTAGTTCATCCGGCACGCCAACGGTAGTCGAGTTTGAGCACCCAACTAATCCACAAGCCCATTCAAACTCTGCGTTTAAGGTCTTCGTGCGAGTGCGCTTTACATCATTTCGTTGCATGATACCACTGAAAGCGTTCATGCGATGACACCGCCGCACCCAAACCATATTTGACCCATTCATGTCGCATAGGATTTTAAACAGTTTGAGTGATACTCAGCGTGTTACCTACTCACATGAACTGCACACACGGCTACGCCGCACTTCCCACGGTAAGCTCTGGAATCTTTGGTACTCTCTTATCCTGAACGCCTGCTTGACCCCACTCATTCGCTTGCATGTGCCCACGCGGTCGTATCTTTCACTCAGGCACAGCGCGGTGCGCCGTGGCCTTCATCGTTGGTTCAAGCGACATATAAGCAATTCTCGTCGTGATATACCTGTATTGCAATTAGAAACCACTGCTGCAAACTGTTTATTTAAGCCATCAGCCCTACGCATATATTCGCAACATTCATTATGTGATATATTACCAAAGTTACCTATGAAATGTATGATAAAAGTTCATGTGCACCTTTGGTGAGCCTTAGCTTCAAAAGAGACCCTTGGTTATTTGCTTGTGTTCCAGTGGGATGTTAACTATGTTTCCAATGCAATGCCTTTTTCCTTTACAACTCTTGTTTACTACACCTCTCATGGCTGCTAATAACTGAAACGTAGACACCGAATGTCGCGTTTTCAACGAATAATGGAGGGCAAAACACTTCTTCACGGAAACTATGGACCGGGAAACCAGTTGCGCGGTAGGCGGTGAAAGAGGCGGAACTCAGGTGCTGTTTACGACGAGAACCAGTAGGAACCAATACAAATATCAATTATTCCGAATTGAGAACGTTGCCGCATCCAACGTGCATTGTACAGAGCTATAATGAACTGGAAGCTAATTAGCAAGAGCACAGTACAAGGTAGCGCGCGACTAACCTACCTCCCATCTGATACTTTTCAGTCACTGAATAATCTAGTGGCGTTGCCTTGTTCCATATCGCGAGAAGCCGCTCGCATAGATGCCTACAGTGAGTGCATGCGTACGTCCATTTTCCCGCGTCGGTTCCTTAAATCGCTGCGTAATGACAAGTTGCCTGTGAATTCGCGAAATCTACGACGATACACGAAATCGCAGATTGAAGCTTCTGTTCATCATAGTACCCAGCTGAAAGCCAGGATAGGATGCGTGGAACCACTCATGAGTAAACTAAATCTCGTATGTCGAGTGAAATTCTACAAATTCCTACGGGAATTACAAGTTAAAACGAGGATGGTTACCAAACAGCAAATTTTAACCTCTCTCTCTTTCGAGTGCTTGACCAACCATATGCCATCTAATGCTGAAAAACAAGATAAACTTGTCCAACATCCCACTCAGTCGCCTGCAACTGGAAGCGTTATCGCTTGGATTTAACTTTTCCGTATCACCTGGTAAATGTGATCGAATAGGGATCGAGGCTCAGCTTGAGTATCTTTACGAACAACTCTTTTGCTTGACCCCGGCAAGCGAAGACGCAAGCAGTTGGTTTAAGGCCAAGGCAGTAGACTTGGCGAATCAATTCTACGTTGCACAAGCTGCAAAACACACAGTTCTTACAAAGAAGCACCTTAATTCATTGATGGTGTTACGTCAAAACGAAGACGTAGTGATACTAAGATCTGACAAAGATTCTGGCGTCGTCCTAATGAGTAAACAGGACTATGTTCAACAAACACAAACTACTTTCAAATGAGGCTAGATTCATTCTTGCTCTAACAAGGTGCGATAGAACTGAAAAAGTTGAAAAATCCATAGTTCGTAAACTGCGAACACTACACAAAGATGGGTTGATTGACACAAAAACCATGCAGCAGCTACGCCCTCGTGGCTCGAAACTGCCGCGCATGTACTTGTTACCGAAGGTTCATAAAAAGGGGTCTCATTGCGTCCGATTATATCAACGGTTGTTGCGCCGCACTAGAAGCTAGCACGATGGTTGGCCAAGGTTATTGAGCCTATCAGATCTGAGTTGGCTGTACATAGTTTGAAAGACACTTTTGAATTCGTTGACAAAATTCAGAAGCTAAGTGTGAATGACAAATACATGCTATCTTTCGGCGTATGTTCACTGTTCACAAATGTCCCTCTGGAGGAGACATTGAATATCATAGGTACACATGCGAGCAAGGTGGGTTTTCCAGCACACCGGTTATATGCCCTACTCTGTATATGCACCAAAGATGTTCAATTTAGCCTCGATTGTAAACTCTACCGGCAAATCGAAGGCGTAGCGAGGGGCAGCCCGCTTGGACTTGTTCTAACTGATATCTTCATGGGCTATTTGGAGAACAACCAACTACGACGAACCATAGAACAGGCGCAGTTCTTTGCCCGGTATGTAGATGACACTTATATGCTCGTCGATACTGCACGGAAGGCAGATAGCATGTTAGAAGAATTAAACTAATGTCATTCGAAGATCAGTCTCACCATGGAAAGAGAGTCGGGGGAGATGTTTCATTTCTTGGAGGTTTCCTTAAAGAGAAGACCAGATGGATCGCTAATACGGTCGGTGTGTCACAAGCCCAACTGGACAGGGCAGTATCTAAACTTTAACAGTTACTGCCCGATGAACTATAAGCGATCATTGATTCGCACCCGCTTCACGAGGGCTTGCCGAATCTATTACTATGAGCCAATCACGAGTGAACTGCAGCGCATTG